TTTGCTGGATAAAAAGCTGTCTGTATGGCCAGACCCAGAGAGTAGTGGTGAATAACATCCAGCTGATGGCTGGTCACAAGTGGTGTTCCCCAGGCCTCAATATTGGGACCAGTTCTGTTTGATATTTGTGTCAATGATCTGGATGAGGAGATCAAGTGCACGCTCCATAAGTCTGCAGATTCTCATCAAGTTGGGTGGGAATATCTATCTACTGGGTGGGAATATTCATCTACAGAAAGGCTCTGCAGAGGGATCTGGACAGGCTGGATTAATGGCCTCAACAAGTGACAGGTCCGGCCCTTGGGTCACAACAAGCCCAGGCAGGGCTGCAGGCTGGGGACAGAGTGGCTGGAGAGCTGCTGGTGGAAAAGGACCTGGGGGTGCTGATTGACAGTGCCTGAACATGAGCCAGCGTGTGCCCAGGTGGCCAAGGAGGTCAGTGGCTTCCTGGCCCTGATCAGGAATAGTGGGGCCAGCAGGACTGGAGGAGAGATCATCCCTGCGTACTTGGCACTGGTGAGGCTGCACCTCAAATCCCAAGTTCTCTTTTGGGTTCCTCAGAACAAAAATGACATTGAGGTACTGGAGCGAGTCCAGAGGAGGGCAGTGGAGCTGGTGAAGGGTGTGGCTGGGAAGTACTTTGAGCAGTGGCTGAGGGAGCTGGGACTGTCTGGGGAGAAAAGGAGGCTCAGGGGTGACCTTATCACTCTCTACAAGTGCCTGAAAGGAGGGTGTAGCCAGGCGGGGATCAATCTCTTCCCCTTGGTAACAAGAGACAGGACAAGAGGAAATGGCCTCCTCTTGGAAGGTGCCAGGGAAGGCATTAGACATTAGGAAATTTTATTCACTGGAATTTTATTCACTTGCATATTAGGAAAAAATTACTCACTGAAAGGATTGTCAAGCACTCAAATGGGCTGTCCAGAAAAGTGATGGAGTCACCATCTCTGGGGTATTTAAAAGGCATGTAGATGTGGCACCTGGGGACATGACTTTTTCATGGACTTGGCTGTGCTAGGTTAACTGTTGGACTCAATGATCTTAGAGGTCTTTTACAACCTAAATATTTCAATGATTCTATGAAAATATTAAACAAATGGGAAAAAAATGCCTTTTTTTCCCCATGGGCTTGTCTTTGGCATGACTTAAGAACCTTGTACTACTTGAGTAGTTCCACTATACACACATAAGGATCTTGCCATATACAGAGTATCATTTTCATCTGTGCTGTGGTTTAACCCCAGCAGGCAACTCAGCCCCACACAACCACTTGCTCACTCCCCACTGGTGGGCTGGGAGACAGAAGAGTAAAAGGGAGAAAACTCTTGGGTTGGGATAGAGACAGGTAAATAGAGAAAGCAAAATCTGCGCATGCAAGCAAAGCAAAACAAGGAATTCATTCATCCCTTCCCATGGGCATGCAGTTGTTCAGCCATCCCCAGGAGAGAAGGCCTCTATCATGCTTGGGGCTTGGGAAGACAAATGCCACCACTCTGAATGTCGCCACCTGCCTTCTTCTTCCCCCAATTTTTGTTGCTAAGCATGTGTATGCTATGGAAAATCCCTTGGGTCAGTTGGAGACAACTGTCTTGGCTGTGTCCCCTCCCAACTTCTTGTGTACCCCCAGCTTTTATTGCTGGCAGGGTGGGGAACAAAAAGAGCCTTGGCACTGTGTAAGCTCTGCTCAAAAATAACAAAAACATCCCTTTGTTACCAACACTGCTTCCAGCGCAAATCCAAAACACAGCCCCATACCAGCTACTGTGATGAAAATTAACTCTATCCTAACCAAAATCAGCATAAGATGGAATTCCATGCTTCTTTATAAAGAAAATCCTTGGTTTTGTAGGGTTAGGTCAGAATCTTTATCTCAAGTGACTTTCACAGCCACATCACAGTTTCAAGTATTTAAACTCCTGTAATCAAATGCAGCCAGAACATTCCATATAAACATAAAGGTGACTAATGCTAAAAGAGAAAACAGAGTAAAATTTGCTATAAGGGTTTCCATTTGATAAACAAGTTTCTTTTGCTTTTATTTGACAAATCACCACATTGGTAATACTTACAAACGCAGGTCTGGAATACAATTCTCAAATATGTCCTCTACTGCTAAGAATTTGATTAGCTGGCACTCCATTTATTCAATTACTACATCAATAGTTTGGCATTTTTAAAAGTTAATCATTTTTGTCCATTATTAATTATTGTTTAATCCATATCTTTCAATATTCCTAATGGTTGACTTCATTAATTTAATAAAGGACAGATAAGTATTTCTTTTCTAAATACTATCTAGTTTGGTTGACAAAACATGAGATTGACCAGGATTTTGATAGTCTCATGGATGACTTCATAAGCAGGTTAAGAAAGGTCAGTTTGAATACTTGGGTTATTTTGAATTTGTCAATGTTTTTATCGTGTTTTTATAAATTATTACAGTGGCAGCACAATGGGAAAAAAAGGAAAACTAGATAAGAGTATTCACTGGACACTAGCTCAGCAAACAGAATGTTTTATGCCCAACTCTGTGACTGAGATGCTATATGCTCTTGGGTTGACATTCTCCTATTTCTTTTTATTTTGTCTATTCGGACTGGAGCTTCTCCTGGGTGGGTACTGGAGGTGCTGATTAGAGTAGGTAGCAAAATGGGGTCCTGATCTCTGTTGTGGCCTCTAGGTGTTGCTATAATACAAATAATTAATCAAAAGACATGTTTCAGTGTCCACAGAGGGTGTTGCAAATTTTTCCAGAACCATGCTAAATTTTATACAGTTAAACCACTCTCTCTGCCTCCTCTCTACAGCATAACAGAAATTTTAGCTTTGTATATTGGGCAAGTGAACCTGAATGTGAAAAGTAAAAGTAGGAAAGCTGTAGAAAGATATTTGACTCACCTCTAGTCAAAGTCCCTCATTTTTGGGTGCCTTTGTGATAGTCTCTTGTCCAAGGGTGGTTGCTACTAGAGGAACCTGCTATTATATTCCTGACTCAGCCCAAACTTCCAGTGCCAAAATCAACCACTGGGTATCACATCACTTAACAAGGCCTCTGCTGCTGATGTGGTTTAGGGGTATAAGCACACAAGGCACACATAAAGACACAAGTGCAGGTTAGATCAGGACACAGACCTGTTCTCATGTCTAAGTACACGAGGCCCTAAAATAATTACAAACTGAGATATTTGTAAGTTCAGTAAGGATAAATGAACTTTGCCTTCTAGGGTGAAAGTTAAGACCCTGGTGTAGCTTGATCTCAAGTTCTACATATTTTGCTCAACAGGGGGCTAATATGCAAAACTCATTGTCATTATCATTAACAATCTTAAGATTTGTAGTTTAAATTTTAAAAATATGGCATAGGGAAAAAAAAAAACAACCAACAGAAAATAATTTGGAAGAGTTAGTGCAACCATTTTGTCATATTTCCAAGGAAGGGGCTGCCAATCCTGCAGCCCAGCACATCATTTGATGTAACCTCCAGCCGAGCAGCTCCTGCAGAACAGCCCTTGCAAAGGTGTGCCCGAGCCATCAGTACTCATGGTGATGCCTGGAATAGTGGCAGATGCCTCTCAAAACTGCATTTGTTGGAAATGCATTTGTAGCCAAACAGTCTGGCAGGGGATAAGTGATCCCTCCTGCAAAGCAATGGCACGGTAAGGAAAGGAGCTGGATGCACATTTGAAGAAAATGATGCAGGTGCCTGCTGGAGCAATGCCTTAGCAGGATTTACTGACGCAAAGGGGCTGAATACGGGATGGGAGATCTGTCCTCTTTCTGGCCAGACATAGATGCTGTGAGCCCCGTAGCCATCCACTCCCTTCTCTGCAGCCTCATCAGCTCCGCATTAACTATAATAATCCCTTTTTGTCATAGAGAAGAAATACTGTGAGGGGTGAATAGTCTCTCTGCTCTGGTCGTTATGTGGTTGAACCTCTGGGACAACCATGGTCCAGCTCTCAATATCTAATTGAGATTGCATAACCAGATACTGCAGGCATGTATTTATATAAAAGCTATTTTAATCAAAAGATTAGCCATTAAATTGCCAGTGTTCTTAAGCATGCTTCACCAATTTTTCCACTTTTAAGACTCAAGTAGACAATTTTTTTAATGTTTTATAAATGATAAAAAATTCACATCAGATTTTAACAGAATTAAGCATACTTATTCAACACACATGGGGCCTCTGAAAAAAATGTTATTCAATTTAATAATTTTAATTTACATTGTATATGTACATGAGCATTTCTTTCAACCCACAGGTTAACACCACCAAAAAAAAAACCAAAAAACCAAGAAGAAATAAAAAAGAAAAAAAAGTACTGTGGTTAGCTGAGTGAAGAAACTCTTGAGACACGGTTGTCTGAAATAAAATCAAGGCACTCTCCCTTAACACCTGATATATTCCTGAATTCTGCCTAGACAAAGGCATGTTCACACTGAGAGAGCTCTAAGAATAGTAGTAGATTTTTTCTGCATTAACTCTTTCTTTTACCACTGTGACAGGTCACCGGTTGTACTCTAGGATGAATCAGTGTATTGAAGTTGACATGAAGGACAATTCCACAGATGATGGGATTTGGGAGAGTATCACAGCTAAGACTATCTATGGAAGACTGGAGGACACAGACTACGTGAAATCTCACACGGGGCTTTCAACCTGCTTCCTCCCACTCACATTCCACTTAATAAATAAACCTTGCTCAACAAAAAAGCAATTTTACTGTACTATGCTGATTTGCTTGAAAATCCTTGATAAGGGCCCGCTCGCAAAAAGCTTCTGCAAGCCCTTGTCTGGCTGGTGCTCAGCACCTGGCAGGATTTGTCCACAGATAAAAGTAATTTCTCAAGGGACCTTGTGTCTTACACAAGGAGACAAAAGCAAACGTTCTTTTTTTGGATTTAATGTCAGTATGTTTTTGTATGCGCACATGTGTGTGAGTGTAGATATATATATATGTGTATATATATATATATTTAGTATATACAAAAGCAAATTCAGTCAAAATATATTTGTCTTGCTGGTCAGGCTTGTTACAGCAACCTACAAGAAACATTAGCTTCTCTGATATTTAATTATGCTATTATGTTTGCACATAAGCTTAAAAGTCAATACAAAAAGCAATACTTTTCCAAATATTATCTGCAGGTAAACCAGAAATATTAACTATAGTGATTAGAAGTCTGTTTCCCTATTGACACTACTATAAATCTTGATATAAGAATAATTTTTTCATAAAAGCACATCCAAACATAGTAAGTGATAAAATACCAGATTACTTTTTGAAAACCATACAGTGACTCGATATCTGGGTTATCCTTTGCAGCAATTAGGCAATTCATTTGGCATCTGTTTGATTGTATAATTTAATTTCCATATAAACAGCATAGTTTAAAAAAAGACAAAAGCTAGAATGTTTAAAGCTAACAAAAGATACAGTGACATCAGGTTGACATTCAAAAATTTTTTTAGCAAAATGACCAACAAAATTTTGACTTAATACAGTGCATATAAAGTTTTTTAGAACTGAACTTTTTAAATATTATTTGAATTTAGCAAAACATGAGCAAGATTTTAATATCAAAGTGCTAAACAGTACTGCCTTAGAAGTCACTGCAAATAAACTGTAAAACAACTCTGCTTGTGATTTGACAGATATTTTATATACAAATGGTTAATAAAAAGACACGCGCGCACACACACACTCACACAAATATAGGTATATACATATATATACATACACATTATATATATGTATATAGTTTTCCAACTGGTGTATCTGAGTCAGTGTGAACACCCCATTTAGTTATCATGTGTAACAGGGTTCCCATGAGCTGGCAGTCATTGCAATAAATACAGGCAAAGCCATTACAATATACCATGCATACAAACATTTATACAAATAAAGACACTATGCAACAAATTATCTCATATTAATATGGCATCAACAGTATAAACATACAAAAAGGAGTACGAACACGGAATGTTTAAACGCAGCCCACTATATCCTTCCTAGCACTTACATTCATACTATTTTACAAGACTTGCTTGTTCTTGAAAACCATCTTCTGTCTGTTTACTAACGAGTCGCTTGTGTTAGAAGTCTAGAACTGAACTATCCCTGATACTGACCCTGTATGCTCCAGTCACTACTTACTCGGGTTTCCTTAGCTAAGGAACAACTGAGCCACAATTGCTCCCGTGTCTTCCACATACATTTGTCAATAAGTCACGCTACATGGAATCAAGTTTGGAAAACTCTGTCAGGTAAGTTAGTGCATGTAATTTTCTCCCTTGATTTCTTTTGTTTGTTTTCCTAGTAAAATAAATTAGTTAATAAACGAGACTTAGTAAGACAGCACTTGAAAAAATTGCACTTGAACATGGGAGCTAACAGCCATTGTCATTTTGCTATATTTGATTTGTATGAAATGTTTAATTCAATGTACTTGCTAAAAAAGTGAATTTTTGTTTAGATTGTGCTGATGTATGTGCCCTTGATGCAGGAAGTATGCTAAAGGTATCCTCACAAAACACATACTACCCTGGCAAACAACAATTTGCTGTTCTTTCAAACACAGCTTCTACAATTTCACTCCTCATAGACCATGAGGTGTTAAACAACAGATTTAAAACAGTCATGTTAACCTTTTACTGCTGCTGGGATAGCATTGTCCAAAAGTGCCATATTAGCCATTTAAAAAACCCAAATCACACAAAAGAAAACAAAGAACACAACCCCAAACCAGTAAGCCAGTAAGTTTCAGGCCTCAGGTTGTAAGGACAAAGCGCCAGAAAAGACCTCATGTTAGACTCGGAGCGGCTTTTCTGTTAAGTGAGGGCAGAAATGTTAGCTATAAGTCACGATCCATTTGCCTGCTCTGGTGGGCGTTTGCCTCTCAGGAGGGTGGTTTGACTCAGAAGGGTAAGGTGTCCAGAAACAGCCTGTCAATGATGGAAGGGGCTGGCACCAAATCTTCCAGTTTCAGGTAAAAGATGCGCTGCAGTCCCAGTGTGCAGAGAGAACGCAAGTCAGCCAGAACACCCAGTACCTTCGGCTCTGCAGACTCGAGTGGTTGTCCTTTGTTTTGGCAACTGAAAGTTAAGTGATCTTTCAAACTGCTTGTGATCTTGTTGCATAGCTCTTCCACTTTCTTTGGTTCTTTTAATCCATGTCGTTCTGCAAAGCCAGAGGAAAAACTACATCAGCATCCCTATCACAAATAGAGAGAATGCGTTTTCTTAGGTATAACCCAGGTGCATACTCTAGAACTCAGAGCAAAAAGTGCTCTGAAAGTATAGATTTCTCAGAACAGCTGGGGTTACATGATGTCAGTTAACCTTTTTGCCACACAAAATAAGTGCCCTTTTCTCTTTATCTACTAAAACAGGCGACAGAGATGCTCAGTTATGACTGAAATTCTGGTACAAGGAATCCAAGCATCCTGCGTATCTGACATAATTTTCATGATATGAGACAGAATTAATTGGGTGATTTGCCAGCAAAACTATCACAGGAGGTGTTTTGGACAATTCTGTGCTTCCCCACCAGTTGTGAATGCTCAATAACTATGGCAACCATTATTTATTCAGTGAATTCAAGTGGTGATCAATATCCTTAGCTAGCTCCATCAGCGCCCAGCCTAGAATTCCACCAGGAATTTGCAGACACTCTTATAAGAAACTAAAGGCACCTTACTACCCTTTGTTATTTTGATCAGCTGCTGCTTTTTAGTTTATTCATCTTTAAAAGCTCTAAGATAAAAGAAGCCTGGAAGTTAACTATTTTGCTTTGAGTGAGCAATGCCTGAACAGCTGCTATGTTATCCATCACAAAAACCTCAGCACTCCTAAAAGGAAGGGGAACTGGGGTTTGTTCCCCTTCAAATGTCTTTCTAAAATACTACAATGATGTTAAATGCATTCACAGTGCTTTATGCATAAGTAGAATGAATCAGATTTGTGATTCACTAAAAGCAGGCTTTTTACAGGGGAGAGGATTCTGTGTTGTTTGCTATCAAGGCTTAGTGGATGAGCTCAAATAACAGAACAAAAAAAATTCAGAACAAAAAAATCTCAAATTTGTGATGTATTAATTTGTCTCTGACTTTATACACAGGTAAGTAAGAAATGGCTTCACAGCAAAGTTGTAATAATTTACACATGAAACAGAATTGTGCCAGATATGGTAATCAAAGAAAGTGCAGGTTATATTAAATCAATTAGATATATAAAACAATCACAGCAGTGGATAAGGAGAAATTGTGGCAGTTCTTGTGTTGGATGCTTTTAAAGTCATCTCCTTCCCTTCTCTCACCCATCCCTGGCAGCCAGTAGCCACATTGTGCCCATTGTCCCCAAGCCTTGTTCCTCCGTGGCAGGAGGAGCCAACAAAAGACATGTCATCTGTCTGTCCCTTAAAGAACAGTGAAAAGAGTACAGTTCTCTTTACTTCCAGAAGCAGGAGTAATGCCTGCACCAGGTGCAGTAATGCCTTGCCCAGGCCTGTGTATATAAACTCCTTGCTCACCACCTGTTTTGGCTTAGATACTCTTTACAAACCAATAAAACAGATGGGATTCAATGAGGGCAGTCAGAAATGCAAAGGTCTGGTGTTCCACTGATATTCACCCATTTTACAGGTTTTTTTTTCAACTGTATTTACTTAGGCAGAGTTAGCTCCTGAATAATACTGGTTTGGGATCAGAATCAGAGATGTGCAGACATGGACATATCTGTCCAGAAGCTACTGTGCTCTATCATTTAAGTACCATCAATCTGCCCTGTTGTTTGAAAGCAACACTTATCCACCCAGTGACATCTGCTTCAGACATCATTTTCACCTTGCAGGAATTAAAAACCCTAGGTATTCTAAGTGCCTTGTTTACATTAAAACATGAGAAGTCAATGAATATTTAAAGCCTTTCCAGTAAATGGTCTATAGTGTAATTATGTAAGCCTTAGCTATACAGGTCACTTAGAGTAAATACTTAGGCAGATTCTGCCATTAAAAATCTTGGCAGATAAATATTTTATACAGGTTGGAAAAGCTGTAGGGCTTTTTTTTTTTTTCTTTCTTAACTAGCCTACTGAGAGAATCTGCAGGACATTAAATTAATCTTGCAATCTTTGAAGAGTTCCCATCTTTTAATCTGTTTTGTTTTCTAGCTGTGTAAGTGAAGATATTTTTATAGATGTAGGGAGCTGGGATACTAGAGTGGATCCAAAACTTGACTACAAATTAGCAGAGCACATTTTCAAACCACTGCCTCAGTAGGTGTGTAGCTTGCTGCAGAGTATGGAAAATTATCTCTGTCTCTGGAGCACGCAGCAACTACTTTGTTAGCATTCCCAGCCAGAACTAAACGGCTTGTCTCCCACTGACAAGTTCAGAAGGTTTCATGAAAAAATCATGCCTTTTGTGAATAGCCATGAAATGTAGGTAAAACACTATGTATGCGAAGATTATCATATTAGTAGCCTTACTTTACATAAAAAAATGGTGGAAAATCAGAATTAAGAGATACTCTGTCCTTAAACTCTGGTGCTACAATATTAAAGCAGTCCCTGACAAACCAAGTTTGTTCTCCCCTGAGTGAATTGCCATACAATGGCCTTCTCTACTTGCAAATCTCCATAAGGGTCAATTCCTCATCCCTGGGACTGCCTCTAGGGGTTTCAGTCTTAAATTCCTAAGGCATCCATAGAAAATCAAAGCCATCTATGTGGAAGCCCCTCTGCTAGGGAAGGACACCACATGCACTGGCACTGCCACTGCAGTATCTGGTGTTAGAACACAACTACTTTCTGAAGAACACACTCATCCAAGAATAGGTTCCTCTCCTTAGTAGACTTTAGGCATCTAGGGCCTAATTTGTTCAAAGATTTAGATTTAACAGGGTTCAAATAACAAAAAACACATTTTCTTGCCTTTTTCACATGCCCAGTTCTGTTTGCACAGAGGAAGACCCACAGAGGAAGTCTTTCTGATACAGCCTAGAGGGAGCAGCACAAGGCCCCTGTGGTAAGGGTGTGCAGTGGCACTGAAGCCAAGGGCTTCTAATAATTCGCTGTCTTCCACAGGATATTCTTATCCACATGGGAATGATAAGGCCAAGATTTATCCCAAGAAGTACAGCTGGTCAAAATAGATTTTCTCTAACTGATTGAGGAGATGTGTAAATATTACTGTAGTCAGATTTTCTCATAATGACAAAGGCACATGTAAAGTGAATATAGGATTTCTCAGCCTGTAACAAACCAGGACTGTGCTTTAGGATATCATTGATTTTTGTGAGAAAATTGGTGATTTATGGCAGAGATGCTGTCAAAAATGACTAATCAAAAGTCTTGCCTCAAAATCTCTGCAAACTTAGCTCATCCTAGTAAACGGAACACAGCATGTTTTTTACACCTTTTTCCTTTTCTCGGGAATCTGAATGTGGTTTTGTGCTATCATTACACTGATCAGCAAAAACTCAACAGGAAGAAAGCAAAGAAATCCATCCCCAGCTGTGCATGTCCCTCTTTCTCTAACCTCTGACCTGAGGTAGATTATGCCAGGGTCAGGCAGACTGAGCACTGCCTTTATAGAAAATGCCTCTCAGAGAGCACAAGTAGCTCAAAGACCCTGGGCTCTGCACTCTGTGTCACAGGGTATCACTTTTAGTCTCAATTAATTCTGAGGTGTCCAGAAATGCAACGGATGAACACTGCAGACTTAAAATAGGCCTCTTGATTATCTTGGTTTCAATATAGTTATGTGATTTTCTCTTCCCCCTTCACATTCCTCTTCCCCTTCTATAACAAAAATAAGCACAAAACTCAGTTGCCTACAGCTTTCTCATGCACACACATGGGAACATTGCAATTTGGCAGATCCAAGAGTCTCCTTTCCTCTTGCAGTCTGGCCCATATTTATCCTGCCTAACTCTCAGACACTTCACAAGGTACCCCCAGCCTTGGTGCACAGATCTCTCAAACCCCTCCTAACATCAGTGTAAGGATAGGCATTTTTAGAAGATTATTACAGTTTTGGGTGAATGAATCATCTTCTGGAGGTGCCCTATATTCTCCATCAGCTGTGCAAGGTACCTAAAGTCAGGTGAGATGAGTGGCCACACAGAACACCACAGTTTGCTCCCTCTTTTAAGAAAACCACAATGTAACACGGAGACTGCTGGTTGCTGTAGAAGCAAGGAGTTCTTGCCTCAACAAAGAGGTGGGAGTGAAAAAGGAGGAGTGAGTACTTTACTTTGACACTGACAGTATTTCCCTCAGCTAAGTGATGGGGGGAAGGCAGACAATGCAATCTGGAGGGTATATTTTTTATAACTAGCTCTCCTACACTCCTCCAGTCTGCCACCTGCTTGTATGTAGACCCAGCACATGAAGCACCCACTCCAGAGGATATCCTGAGAAGAGGACTGAAGGATAACTGCTGCTGAAGAGTAGGTAAGTCTCGATTCTGTTGGGAGGTTGGACAAACGCATGTACAGAAGGAACTGCAGCAGTCATAGTCTTTTTAGCCAGACTGGTCTCATTACTGTTTCTTGGTATGACTGATGGTGCTAAAAATTGTGTTTGTAAACTGGAACAGAAAGCCCAACAGCAGGAAGACAAACACAAACTCCTAATTAATTGAAACCTCACAATATTCTTCAGTGGTCTGGTGCCAGTCTAACAAAGCATTAGGAGTATGAATAAGCCCAATATATACAGTGGTTCTAGGCTGGTCTGTAACACACTTAAAATAAACCATATGCTGAAAGAGCTTGGCTGAGTGAGGGCTAGCATGCTCTGTACTCAGCAGCATCCCACTGAGAGTGTCAAGTAAGCAAAATAATAATGGTTTGATGTGGACAGAGAAAGGAAAGGGCCAAGAGGGAAACCTAATCAATGAGGAGAATGAGAGAGAGAGAAAATACTAGCAGTTCTAGAGCAGGCAGAAATTTGAGGCTAAATTAGAATGTGCCCTTGAGATGATCTGCACTGGACTCTCAGTCTTTCTATTTTCACACTGTTAAAACAAACCTAACAAATGGTCATTTGGAAGTTTAGGAAGCATTTTCAAGCATAGGCTGAGTTAGTATCTAGTCTACTCTGCAAAGCTTCATCTTCAACACCACGCAATCCATCACAGAGTGACTGTGCAGGGACACTTGTGATCCGTAAACACACTAAACTCATAGAAATCGTCCACGTGGAATTAACAACAGAACTTGACCCAAGATCAAGCATCTCCTTTCCATGCTGCCACTCTTCTTTAGCTCATTAGAGGCTACATATCAACAGAATAAGTGATCCAAAGGAGAAGAACATGACAGACCTAGTTTTTTTACTTTCATAGTCATGTGAGGTGAGTGTCATGCATTGTTTCCTACCTACTTTCTTCTGGGTGATGCTTAGAGCAATACTCATATGTTGTGGAGGAAGTTGTGTCCAGCCTTTCTAAACCAACTAAAGGAAGTAAAAAAAGAGAAGAGAGACAGAGAGAGGAAGATCCTAAAGGAGCACCTTACAGTAAAAAGATGTGTTTTGGCACAACAGAGTTCCAAGTTAACTGTTTGCAAGCCTCCACAGTAAACCAGATGCCACTTCTTTCATTCTGGGTGCTCTTTTAAGCTGATGTTTTATCTGAGAGGACCTGAAAATTAATCAGCAATCTGACATAATGATTTTCCTTCTAGACAACATACCACAGATTTCCAGGACACATAAAATAGATAGAAAAATCAAAAATATATGGACTTTCTAATGGAATATATAATGCAAAATATTGTACATACCTTTAGTTTTACTCAAAGCAAGCAATCTAGTGAACTACATTGAAAAGAACAAATGACCCTACATGCCTATAACCATGCATCTTATGCTGTCACCTGCAGCTGTGGCTGGGATAGGACAAGGAGCTTTGTGGCTCCAAACAAGTCAGTAGGGTTAATTGAAAGTCACTGGAACTACTGGGGAGACAATGTGACATCCCAAAATTAAGGAACAGCCTTCAGTATATCTTAGGACACAGGGACCAGTGAAATGTCTTTTAGTCTCCGACACCAAACTTTACATTTATTCCCTCTTCTTTCACTGGGAGACAGATGTTAGCTCTCTCTGTCACTCTTGAAGAACACAGAATATGTGAGAGTAGTGACTCGTCTTACTCTTCTCCCTCAGAAAAAATGTCAAAATTGGTAGTATACAAGAGGTTTTGCTTTCTAAGAGCCCATTTTTGTTTGGGCTAAGAACAGCACTCATGAAATCAAGAAGAGTGAACAAGTCATTATTGCCAGAAGAAATTATTCTTTGAATTCGATGCTACCTAAGATGCTGTACAGTATTAAAGCAGGCTATGACTACTACAGATCACAGGGCTGGTTTTTTTTCCTCTTTTTTGGTTAAGCCATCAAATCATAAGCAATTTCTGTGATAATCAAGAAAATTTTGCTCAAGGTAGCATTCTGGTTTTGCAATGTTGTTACTAAAGGCAAACAACTAGATTCACAAAAGAATCACAAAAAGCTTTCCCAGTCCTTATTTTAAAGCCTAATGACATGTTCCCACCTGGAACATGGGAGAACCATGGTCAGATTCCCTTCCTGTTGGAATCAGACCAGAGATAGGGCCTTGGGTGTCCCTCTGACCATCAGCTTGTCCACAAATCACCAGACACATCAGCCATTCTGCGGCCTGTGAAATATTTCAAGTTGTCTTAAGACAAAAGACAGCCGTACTCAATAATTGGATATCCTGTGTTCCTGGGAAAGGCTGCTCTTCCTTGGTCTGACTCACAGAAAGGGCTTGAAGCAGTTTGCCAGCTACCAACATTGCTTCCAACAGGCCATTACAGCAGAAAAGGGTGCTTTCCCTGGAGATAAAGAATGGCAACTAAACCACCCACCTAAATCTAAGCCAAGCTTCAAAACAATGTTTAAAAATGTTCAACATTTCAGACTTCTTCAGGTTTCATTTTTCCAAATTTTCTCTTTGTTATTTTTTCTCTTTTGGTGTGACTAGTGGAAAAACCAACACATGGCCCGTCATACTCAAACTGCAGGGAGGAGACAAGAAGCCATTTCTTGTGGGATGCCACATCAGAGCCAAATCTCAAGGTTTTCCTGAATAAAAAGTTTCAATACACTAGCTAGAATCACCTGATTTCCTCTTACTTTACTATTAATAGTAATATTAACACTTACTGCTTACTTTAATAATAATTTTAATATTGTTCATAGTTATACAATGCTACTTTTTTTCAGGTTACCAAATTTCTGGCTGAGTCCCTGAGTTAGCTAACTGCCCTTGGACATCTGAAACCTCTGACTATTAAGTCACTAGAGCTTTGGTCTAATTTAGATCACATGAAAATACATGCTGTCCTTAGACCAAATCAGCAGAGATATACCAGCCTCATGAAATAAAAGAATAAGCAGAAAACAACATTATTTTTAAACACCATCTCACACAGGAGAGAAAATCAAGAGCTTCTTGACAAACAGAGAAAAATCTTAAAGCTTGTATGTAGGGAAATGGTCTCCTTTTAAAGGCAACTACTGCTTCCATTTGTTTAGAAACTTTGGGAAGACCAGCACAATATAGCAAACTCCTGGAAGTGCTGTGATCAAGGAAAAGAAGAAATGTGGGTTATATCCAACTAAAAGCTATTTCTAATTATCCTACGGTGAACTGAGCCTGTCACTGGACAACTTTGACTCCTCATGAAAGGGCAAGCAAGCAGTGCTTAACTGAATAAATTACCATGTTAAAACAGAACATGGGTTTGCAAGGGGAGTAAGTTTTCCTCCTATACATTTGCTTTTGCTACATTCACTTAGCTTGATGGGAATCCTGTTCATCAATCTGCATACTCTCGGTCTCCAGGAGGATAATCAAGAACTACCTATTGCTACCTAAAAAAGACATATCTCATATATAGTAAATAATCTAAATCATTCATATGTGCTATATATATGAGCATATATGCCTGTACGTAAATATATAGAGCGAGGGACAGCACCTGCCCTTGATTTAGAGATCTCTAAATGCATATACATACATAAAAACATTATGTATAATGTATAACATAATTATGCTTACACATACACATATATGTAAGTGTTTATAGCACATATATGTAAGTATGCATGAACATATGCCAGTGGATGTATATATGCAGGAGAAAAAAAGTGAATTGGGAATGTTCTTTCTGACTTTAACATACCACTCATTTCAGGAATTTTTTTATACAGAGTAAAGCAGCTCCAATTAGTTCCTCCGGTCCTAAATGTTTTATCAAAGACCTTAAACTACCCTTTCCAACTGCAGAAGAAATTAACAGAAATTAATAAAGAAACTGAAAATACCTAAGAAACAAAGAGCTACATACATACATTAACCCTTCACCAAAATGCAGGAAGGCAGCATACCGTGCAAACTCTGAAACCAAAATCTTGGTCCCACAGATGTCAGCAGGAATTGGCCAATTTTATATCTGTCAATGAGTGTTTTATCTCAGGGTTGCCCTGACATCCTCTCATCCTGGGTAAAATGAAGACTACAGCTGGTATTGTTGAGGCCACTGCTTGCAAAGTAGTGGATGACTGAAAAGCAGAAGGAAATCAATATCTATCCCAGTGGAGCTTATATACATCCCTGGGAAGATTCAGCTCAGGGCACGCTGAAGCCCTGTCTCACACTGATGACACAGTTACACTGTTAAACTGCCAGTTTTTCTGGTATGAATGTGAGGCTCTTTGTGGAGATGACTTCTGCTCCAAATTCAGCTGAGTGGTTGTCAGACACCCTTTCTCCCAACCCCTTCTGCTGCCATCAGCCATGACTCTTCTATTGCAAGATGTCCAACGTATGCAGTGGCTTTATTGTTTCAGGAATGCAGAAATTACACTTTAAAAGGTTATGTTCCTCTGTTTTGTACTTACTGGACAGATTTGGCAGATTCTGACATTAGTTCCCTGCTGTTCACCCCAGCAGGCAGAAAGGGTCATATGGTCACATGCACACCCAAAAGCTTTTGTACAACTGCGGAATGTGACTTTTTTCTCATTATTCTCTGATTTTCCTCTCTCAGAAAAGCAGTACATGGAATACCTAGGCTAGCCTGGCTATACCAAAAAGCCTGCCTGCCCTCATGGAGCACTCTTTCTGGTCTAGCTATCTTGCTGAGAGATGAGCTATGCTAGCTGTATGGCTTCTAGGTCTCAAGCTGCCTTGATATTACTATTCCTACACAGGAGACCTAGCTCTGGTAATTTCATTAATATTTTCTGGGACTTCAGCAAGTGTCTTGAATATTTTTGTAGGAACTACACCATTTGCTTGGAAGCAGTTTGCTTTTTAGAGACTACTCCAAGAAAACAATGAAGTTGCAAAGAAATAGTTTACATTTTAAGAGAGGTGTCTGATAGCCTAATGTTAATCCACAATTTCAGGATGGGCATGTTAGTGCTTAAAAATCATAATTTCTTCACCCTGAATATAGCTAAATTAACTGAAATTTCTTGAATCTACAATAAAGCACAGCACCAGAGTATGAAGTTTTCTGTTAGCAAAGGAGCACTTACCTGTAATCATAGTTAGAGCTGATAGACTTGCTAAGGCTGGGATATCAAGGTTAAGGCTCTTTAAGTTTAAGGAAAAGTCTTTAATAGAGTCGAGCCACTCCCCAAATCCACGAAGGCACTGAAGTCTATGAAGCACGAGTCCATTGCAGAATACAAACTTATCCTCAGCAGTATCAGACCTCAAATAAAAACAATTGAAAAAATTACAAATGCGTCTTCTACTTTACAGAAAAATGCATAACCAGTATTGAAGCGTCTGTCATTTAAAATCCAAGGCATATTATCCTGAGACATATGTGGGCATTCACGTTTGACAATATGTTTCTCCCTTGGGGCCAAAGTACAACAAACAAGCTTCTGTGATTGCTTACTTGGTAGAGTTATAAGCCTGAGGTTAGCTGTAGCATGTGGTGTAGACTGTCTAATTAGTTAAGATTTTGGTCCTGCCCAAAGGCATAAACAGAGAAGACATTTTGCATTAAATACTGTATGTTTGAACCAAAGGAATACTAAGTGAGTGTATTTTGACATACAAAACTAGTAAAAAAGATAGGTTCTGCAACTCTCAGCATATACTTAGTATCATCTGCTTTTATCAGATTGTAAAAATTGGCAAGCAAAAAACAATGGAGAACATGTGCAGTAATGCAGGACAATACACATAACTGCATAAACTCTTTTATATGAAAACCTGTCAGCAAGAGGGAAATTACAGCCAAACTCTCCTCTTTTTCCCTCTCCATTACCAATAATTTTGTTAAAAAACACATGCAAAGGTTATTTTCAACCTAAATAAACAATGTCATAGCTGAAATCACCAGTCTGCAATTTTGCCAGTTCCTGAAAGTGGATTTGGTAAAGTGCCTTAACTAGTTCTAGACTGACAAACAGCATCTCACTCTATTAAATTACTTGGCACTAAAAAGAAAACCAATCTGAGCAAGATTTTAAATATTTTAAAAGGGAGATGACAAAGGGAAAACAAAAAAACTTTGATACTTGAGGTGTGTTTCTATATTCCATACTTAAGAGTATGAAGAAGGCTTGGTCAAATAGTACCTGAGGATCAATTTTGATTATTATGTAGGAAAAAGATGGGACAGATGAAATAAAAGAAGCACATAAGTGACACCTATGATCTCTTTTTAAATTACCGTCTTGATTTTTCCTGCAGTGTAAAACAAATTAAACATTATAACCTTTGTATGCAGACATTGCTGATTTTTTGTGCTTTTTTTTTTTGGTACAAATGACAATGTTCAAAGATAGCGCCATATTTACTCCTTAAAAATATTCAGATAGATGATTTTTCACATCATCTTAAGAGGAAATTAAATAAATAGTTACCTGATGGAGAGTCTTAGTACAAACAGCTCCAAAAAAGCTGATTCTATGAGTAATGTCTGATCTTCTTTTGGGAGGTCAGTAAATCCTGGGATTTTTTCTGCCCAGCCTCTAGTTATGTCAATGGAGGCAGTCAGAAGATTATAGAACTGTTGTACATGTTCTGCATCTGTGCCTGCAGCAGCCTGATCAGTGGAACAGTACTAAAATGAAAGCCACAGAAAGCAAGGTTATATGCATTTAAGGGCATTCTGTGAAACATACAGCATTACTTGCCCAACAACATTTCCTTCTGTGGCGAAGCTGGTATTATTTACAAAGACATAAAAAATAGGTCTACATCTACCTACTTATTTGGTTACCTATGGGCATTTTGTTATTCAGATAGATATTACAAAAATATTTCCATATGTATAGAAGTAATTTCAAATTTATAACTAAAATACAATATCACATTTTACAAGTATCTATATGCTATTAGTAAACAGAAATAGAAACCTGGTGGGTAGGATAATTTGCATCACACTAGAAGAAGAACATTATTTAGCTTACTACAATGAAACACTTTTCCCATTGATGAATTTGTCTGAGTATGTCATAAATGCAGATTTCTTCCAAAAACCTCACAAAGTGCATTTTATCTGACAGTGATAGAGACACGTAAGATAAATCACATTTTATCTGACACATGCAGCATTGCTTCATTTGAATACAGAATTGGTTCAAAGTAAACCAGCTGCCCCATATCACCTCTTATCCTTCAAATTGAAGCATTTGAGGTTCAGCAGAACCTATTATCCTGCTTATGTGGTCATAACTCTTCCAGGCAGCTATTTGACAGTCTCAGCTTGCTCAGCTTCCCTGTGACCCTCTGACAGCTCCCTCCCCACTATCTCCTACTTCATCACCGGTGGATCCCTGTCACTCCTTTGACACTGCTCTCTCTCTCTTGGCAGAAAATACAACAGGAGCTTTTGTGGCTTAGTTCAATTCTGTGCTTGGAAAGTGCTGCTGGCTTTCTAAGCAGGTACTGAATAATGTGGCATTTATTGTAGTAACATCCTCATCATCAGACAGGGATGGGTTATTTCTGGGAGAGACTTCATACCCACGAACTCTCTTATGAGTTCAGCCAAAGAAAGGCTGAGGTAGTCTCCCTGGCTAAAAGAAGCCTGCATACCTTTTGGAAACAATTTCCCACATGCATTTAGGCTTGAGTCCATCGGCCCAAAGGCCACTCTAGCAACTCTCCAAGCCAGAGCGGAAGCAGAAAAAAACTCTTTCCCCATCACTAACAGTGGTCTGGCAGCCTGGAAGGACCATATTACAAACATGGGCTGCAGATATCACCCATGTTGCTAACTGCAACCCAAAAGTCACCTCTGTGCAGGACAGAGAGATGGGGCAGCAAGCAGAACTTCTCAGGTAGCTGTCCTGCGCTCCGCCTCTCCTAGATGGAGCTGGTTGCTGTTGGCAGGTAAGGGATGAAGGACAAAATGTCAGAGTTGCTGACTGATGGGAGAACCACAGCAAACCTAGAGACCTCTGTCTGTATCTGGGTCCTGGTACTAGCTCTTAGTGACTCTGTTCTGCTCACCAAACACTAACTGCATGAGTTTAATCACAGTAAATTCCAGCTCACATCCCTATTCAGCTGGTGACACGTGCAATCCTTCTTATAAAGTTCATATGGAGACAAATTTTGCCTCAGCTGCTCCAAAGGATCCTGTGACACTGAGGCAGGTAGAGGTCACAATACAGAGAAGGTGGGGAGCAGCAGTAGAGAAATCTGTATGCTGCATCATCTTTGTGTTCAGACCCCCACTTGAATGGAGCAGTTGAGGATGCTCAAGCATCAGGAACCAACTACTCCTGGCACCGGACTGCAGCAAGATGCACACAAGAAATTAATGGGTAGAAAAAGACAATTTGCTTTTTCAGAGACCATGCATGTTCTGGACCCTCTCTAAGTGAAGCTGCAGAGCAAGCCACAAGTGTGCATTCTGTCTCTGGGAGATATACCTTGCTACACAGGGGCTGACCTATGACTCTTTCTTACTGTACGGGGAAACTAAACAGGCTGATGGAAACTCCTGCCTCATGACAGGTATTGCTCAGCCAAGACATGTTCTTGATCCTTTGAGCAGTAAAGGAGAAGGAAAAGAAAAAATATACTACCCATTCTGAATGAGTTCATTCTAAATATAACTCATCACAACAGCATAATTATGCAAGGTGTTAATTTGTTCCAAATATTTATAAAACATTCCTTTGGCAAAAGTAAGGTAAAGTTTAAACATTTTCTAGTGAAGCTGAATGCTGCATTATGTCGTGTAACTGTGAATGCTACAGTGTGGTATACCCCATGCTGGGCACTGAATCAAATTAAATGCATCAAAAAAAATTATAACCTGTATTTTTTAACATAGACTATCCCACGAGAGCAATTTTAGAAGAAAGGTAAAAGATTATATGGAATTGTATAATTTTCAGCTGCTCGCTATAAAGTATTAGAACTTAAAAATAGTTGTCAAAATAAAATATTACTTGTAACAGACTTAGGAGGATACAAGTAACAATAAACAATATGTATGTTTCTGTTTCATGAATCACAATTACGAGTTTTTTCCATGATTATTTCATGGAGAAGAAGTGATATTTGATCTAACTTGTGACCAAGACAGCTGGCAATCCTGCCCTTGGTCAGGAGGCCACAGGACGGAAGGGCTTCCTCCGATCTGCACTTCTAAACCTGCCCTATGTAAACTGGAGCCAAACGGGGAGAAAGAAAAACAACAAAGCTCTGTCCCCCTCTCTTCCTTGGAGCTCCTTTGGGAATCAAATTAAATATGACTGTTACTTAAGGAGGGGGTTGCTTGTGCAAGCAACATTAACTTGTATGTTATATCTGAAGACATTTGGAAAGCCTGAGGTTGGGGAGCCTGATAGCACAACTTAGCTCTGCCCTTTGCCTGCTTTCATCAGTTGCTCATTGACGGCTATAGCTGCAAAAGTCTAACAATAACTTCTCTGCACAGACGAAAGCCTACACTCATTTTTCCAAAAGCCACGATATGTGCTTAATTTTGTGGCCCAGGAAGGGGGTGGGGGGGGGGGAGATGATTGCCTAAATGCTGCACTCCCCCTCTGAAAAGGCAACATTTCTATTCGTGTTGGTGCCTACTCTGCATGAATAAGAATGGCAAGATATTGGGTCTGTTTCTCATCTCACTTCCTTAAAAGTGTAAACTCGGACTTGTACCAGTAAACAGGTGTGAGACCAGACTACGGCCCTTGGCAATTGCCTTTTGAAACCAAGTACCTAAATATACCACTGCTGTGGACTGGTAAGTTAAAACCAGCGCTGAGATGAAAAGCAGCCATGTTCTGAACAGAACTGTTTCCAATGTTTTGGTGTAAAGTTTGTAGCTTATGTAATTTATTTTTTGTTCTGCTTTCTTCCTGGGTTGCTCTGTGTGTGTGTGTCTGCAGGGCTTTCTGGAGGGAAGGGATACACTCCTTTCTCCGAAACTCCTATCAGTATTTTTAAGATGGTCAAGATATTACAGCTTGTAAACATTAAGACCATGCTGAACTTTAAGGTCGTATCTGCAGAAGTGTCAGGGATAACTCCAAAGCCAGGTTTCCAGATCTGCCCATTTGCGGTGCACAGCAAGGTCACAGCCTAGCTGAACATGCCGTAAGCTAGTCTTTACAGGTACACGATTATTCTTCATAGGAATATTTTAGCATTGCAGTGTGTTTACAGCATGTTTCAATAAATTCATTAAATGCAGTTAATCTTGCTCTTTACACAGCTTTTGTTTCTGACCTCTTCTAACTTTTCAAAATAAGTATAACGGTCTATGAAAAAACATAATTTATTGTAGAATATTTTTGTCATTTCAGTACCGCTGGGCATAACAGACTATTATATATTTTAGTGTAAAGAAAAACTTAGATATTAATATGTTCTAACAGATAATCATACTTAATCTTTTAGCTACCAAGACTAAATTAATTTACTTTCAATCATATGCTCCCTGTAATGTCCAACAGAATTGCTCAACAACTAAATCTGTGGGTTGTTTTCATTAAAAGAGAAATAATTACTGTAGGACAAAGAAAAAAAAAATCACATAAAAGTACGTAAATTTTGTTCAGTTTTCTGTAAATGCAAAAGAACTTTATATCAATAAATAAATACAAACTATGGCCTCTGGACTCCTGTAATTCTGTGGAACCCAGCAGATTTCTATCAAAGAGCACGGCTCGTCACACACCTTGGTATTTACAGAATGATCCCTGAGACATTCTGGGTAAGTTAAGGTACATGTAGATACTGCTAATGCATTCTCCCCATAGTAGGTTGTCATACACTGAACAGCTAGATTCTTGATAATAACTTGAAAAATTGTATGATTTAATACTTACAGATTAGTTTGAAGAAAATATGTTACAGCATGCTTTAAATTGCTAAAATATATATAAGTATAGTTTAAAATAGCATAACTTAATTTTTATATAATTGCAGTAAATATGCTTTAGGATTAAATATTACTTAGCAACAAGTGATAAATGGCCAATGGAGTTATTGTCTGAGTGCAGTTTCTATTTTCTACAATCTCAAATTTAATCATATTTCTTTAAGGGGGAAGAATTTGATTTTGTTTTTCCATAGCTGTATTCTTTTCTTATCCTGTATCAACTTGCCTAAGAATTGTATTAAACAAGCCATTTCAATGGTGTATTTTGATAACTACAGAACATTTTTTTTCAGCTTTCAGAATATTCCATGAATATTTATATTGTGAGTATGATACATTAAAGAACAAGGTTACAAAAATATATTACCTTTAGTAAAGCTTTGCTGATTTTTCAGAATTTTAATTTTTAAAGGCTTGTTTTAAAAATGTGAGTTTTACTGAAGGAATATTTATGCTGGGGTATCCAAAGCCAACCCTGTTCCCATTAAAATAATGGCAAAATTCCTATTGATTTCAACAGGAATTGTCCTATTCATCCACTGTCACATTCTGCAACCCTTCTATCTGAATATTAGGGAAGTGCTGTTAAATTTTAGCCTTCGGGAAATGGAAGTTAAGACATTGGACATTCAAGTACTTGCTCCTGGTTAATCAATGACATCATAATTGATTGTGTTTTGTCACAGCCTTTTTGCAAGAAGAGTGCTCTATTTATCTATGCATTTTTGCTTTCACTCAGCCACTGAATGTACTGCAGATTATTAGATTATTTTGTGATTGAGATCCTCACAATGAATAGTTACAAACACTAATATCTACTGCACTTCCTTTCCTCTCATTGTCCACCTATCACGAAAAGACAACAGCGGGCTGGACAGATTTCTACACTCATCCGAATTTCACACTTAATTTCATTTTGGCAAACCAACTGGTCAGGAGAAATGCAGCTTGCAAATCATTTCTGTGCGGAAAGCAAATAGGGAAAGGAAAGTGAGACATACTCTTGAATAGTCCAGCTCCCTGGGCGTGGAGTCGGTTAAAGCTCGAACGAGGGCATTCATCATGCTGATGGGAGGAGAGGGCGGGGAGGGCTGAGAGGGTTCTTGCTGTAAGGGGCTCTTTGGTTTGGAAGGCAGCCGACCTCTTCTCCCTTTCAGGCTGTCGGTACGGACAACTAGGTGAAAAAAATCCGAAGGGAATCAGTTGTGAAGGTACTAGCAAATAATGTTCATAAGAATGAACACCCTGCTTTCCTTACAGGGGCAAGACCAGCAAAAATAAGAGCATTTTCCAGTTTCTGCACATGTTCTTTCACTGCAAAGGAGCACAAATGGCACCAGAACTGTATCAGACCTATGATCATAAGCAGCAATGTAGCTGCTTAGTGAGAGCCCAGCTGTGTTCCTTGTGTCCATGCTTTGTTTGCAGCACGTCAGCGTGCCCGTGTACGTGTGCCCGTGACACTCCACTGCTGAAAAAAAGCTGAATGTGAAACATAGATTTTAGTATTTCTACCACCAGTGTCCCTGTTAAATGGCAGAGGCATTCATTCAAAGTAATTTTAGCTTTCTTGAAGCATTTGAAAAAATACGGTCACACTATATAGGTTATATTATCCATGTCAGTATTTGCAGTGGGGCTGCTCACACAATATTACTCACATGCTTAAATATTTGCAGAATTGGGACTAATGAGTTGATCCTGTTTCCATTTAAATTATTTGCAAATTTACAATCAGCTTATGGGAATGAAAGGAGATCCTATGTTAAAATGCACACAATCCAGTGCAGCCCCCAGTGAGCTAACAAGGGGAAGACAACAGCATTATCGAGCAATGTTCAAAGTTAATAAAGGAGACATTTTGGCCACTGTCAAATTATCCTCTTGTGACCTTGCTGCTCTTGAACTCTGGGGTCTATAGTCTAAATATGATAATTGGGGTGAAAAGCACAAAATCAATACATTATTACATATATGCACATATTTTGGGGTAAATTATGAATCTCATCACTGACAAATTTATTGTAGAGGCATCCATGTTCACACACACACACACACACACACACACACAGAGACACAGATTCATTAAACATAATATTTTAGTTTTCTGGGATCATAAATAGCCACAGTCCTTACCTTCTTTAACCATGCCGACACTGAGACACTTCTGGAACCGGCAGTATTGGCATCTGTTACGACGTCTCTTGTCCACTGGGCAGTTTTTATTTGCCAGACAAACATATTTTGCATTTTTCTGAACTGTTCTCTGCGAAAATGCAACACAAAAATAGTAAACTGATTGTTTCTTGAGCAACTTAGAACCTGACAAAATGCGTTTTAATTACAACATGAAAAGTGACAGTGCAATTCATATAATTAGATAAAATTAATTTCCTAACACACTAGCCTGCAGGAAAAACAATTTTATTAGTGCTAGCTGCTGACAATGAAAATCATCTAGGATTGTTCTGAAGCAAGTCTCTGGAGACAGGCAACTTTGAATGATAAAATCATATCTGAAATTACCAGGTCATCACATCTACCTTTGGGGATTAGATTATCTCCGCTTTTAATATCCCTTTGGGAACAATTTTCTACTTGGTTCATTCCCTTGATTATTGCTGACCTTATTAAAATAAAATCAAAATTATCTGCAATGTATTTCTCTTGCTATCACTATTGTTAGTCAGATACCACAATAACTGGTTTGGTTAGCCATTAAAATCATCAGAGAGAAAAATAAAAATACCAGAAACCCCTACAAAATATGTTTTGCTAAATACTTTCTGAAAGTTAACCTGACCTGAGGAAAAAAGACAGAAAGATGACATAGTTATGTAAATTTAAATAACTCTAAAGTCATGTTGAAAAAAATAAAATCAAAATTTGTAAAAACCTGGTAAGCTTTGAAAGAATGCAAGAAATATTAATGCAAAAAGCTACCATGCTGCCATGCTTAAAATGAAAGATACATCAATAAATAATATCCAAAAAAAGTATTACTAGAAAAAACACCAGGAACAAATTTATCAACTCAACATTCAATATTAAATCTTTCACTGCAATTAAATTAATGGATAAATTTTATTCCGTAATTTGTGTTTGTTATAAAATAACAGCCTCAATGTACTAAATGTAAGAGACAAAGCAAATATTGTTCACTGTGATTTGGAGCTGAAAACAGTTTAATTTTGCAGAATAAGTTACAACTCAAGGACATGCTATTGATTTCCACAGGGGCAGGTTTGGGATAATAAGAGTTGCTTTTTCCATGTTATTTGTGTCCCTTTTCTAGTTATATCTAAATAACAAATTAGTTTTATAGGATATATGTATGTTGTCATATGGTCAAAGGATTATTATTATTAATAGCTCCACCTACAATAAAATAATGTTGTAAGCCCTCCCCCCAAATATTTAGGGACTGTTTTTGTTCCCATTGTATCTTTTACCAGAACAGAAGCATAACTGCTATCTTAGAAAGAAGAAATACACAAAATCAACCCCAAACATTTCAAATCTTAAACTTGCTGCCCAAAACCATCCTACCAAAAGTCTTCATTTAAACAAGATATTTCTGAAATTAATACTGGAATCCCAACTCAGTCTGCTGAAAGGAAAATACAAAGCACCCAAACCTAAGATAAAAAAAGAGTATATTCAGCTCTTGAAAATATAAGCACAGAGCTTCCACTGAGAAACTGCTGTGTGCAATTTATTTGTGTTGCTATTCAGCTGCAAAGCTGCCCTCATTGCAGAGCAGGCACCAGGACTCTGTGCAGTGCTTAGTCACTGCTCTGCAGGCAGCTTTCCCCTGGTAAGGATTCCCCGGGCTCCTGAGCTGAAGGATAATGACTAGGCAGCAACCAAAAGCAACAAGAAGTACTTGGGTTTGTCCCATGAGTGAAACCAGTTTCTTCCTGGTGCTGACCACCCTGAATTCCTGCTCACACCGACCGCCCCTGGACATCAAACGGCACCGCTGCCACCGCCTAAAATACTAAATGGACTTTACGATTTGAGGGATTTTTTTCAAAGTATAATTGGAATTGATGACTGAGTAAAACCCAGGCTGAATGTACTCCAATGAGTTTCACTGCAGAATAAATGCAGTTCATAGCTTAAACTGGGGCGAGCTATGTCCCATTGAGGAATGCTGGCAGACCGGAGATATGATTCCCCCAGACCACTGCCATAGCCTCTTCCCAGCAGAGACTGCCTGATCCTCTCATCCTACAGAGGGCTCTCCTCGACCTTCTGCAAAAACTTTGGGTCTCCCTCCCACCCTGCCGGGGGGACCCTGAGTTTTAACACACGATGTCCCTGAAGGCCGAGGTCAGGACCAGGAGCATGTGGGGACAGAGGGCAGTGAGGTGGGAGCAAGCAGGGAGGGAAGAGAAGCACGGAGCTCTCACCTTGAAAAAGCCCTTGCAGCCCTCACATGTCCGCACCCCGTAGTGCTGGCAGGCGGCATTATCTCCACAGACAGCGCAGGTGCCTTCCCCAGACGAAGAGCTCCTGCTGGGCGGAGACGGGAGGCCACTGCTGCCGCTCCCGCTGCTCTCCCCCATCAGGCTGGAGGTGGCTGCGTTGAGGCCGAGTGGTGAGAAGGCTAAGGTGGCTGGTCTTTTGGCCAGGTGAAGCCCGTAGGAATGGCCCTCCATGGGAGCCTGGCTGGCGGCGGGCCTGTCGGAGCCCAGGGGCAGGCTCAGGGAGGCAGGGTCGTAGCACATGTGGGCGGCCGCGGACGGCGTGTGCGGAGGCGAGTGCTTGAAGTGGAAGAGAGGGAAGCGCGGAGGCACGGCCTTCATGGGGGGGGCGTCCATCAGGTGGCCGGGAGGCAGGCAGGTCTGCGTGGGCTGCAGCGGGGGCTCGTCCCACAGGCCCTGGTGAGCAGGGAAGCCGGGTGTGGTGGGCGTGGAGGGTGGAGATTGCTTGAAGTACATGGAAGTGCTGGGCATGCCCTCATCTGTGGATGGGGGCAGGGAGGGCTGGTATGGGGACAGCCGGGTGTCTTCCATCTTTATGAGGGGCCTCTGGCCAGAGGAGGCAGTTTGCATTTGGTAGAGGCAGGAAGGCTTGAGCTCATAGCTGCCAGAGTAACCCTCCATGAAGGTGCTGAAGCTGGGAAGGGACGTGGTGGCAGTGGCAGTGATTTCGGTACTGCTCAGCTCCATGGTCAGCTTGGCATAGTCAGGGTTCATGATGTCTGAGCTGTACTCCGAGCCATACGCGTAGGTCTGGGATGCATAATTCGAACCGGGCGGTGAAGGACTATACTGCGCTTGCACACAGGGCATATCTGCGGGGGCAAAGGGGCACGTTAACAACAGGCCCAGTGCACCAGGCCGTGGCCAGTGCCCTCCCAAACTTCTTTCCTAGAAGCTTTCCCAGAGCTCAGATAGGCACCCAACTCCCATCCAGACATTTAAATTAGCCTCGAGCCTTTTCCTTTCAACAAGAAATATGCGTCAGGCACCGACTAAGCCTATGGAGCCTCCTCTCATCTAGTTAAGGGAGAAACTCACATTTATACCAGTGTCAGTGAGAGAAGAATCCATCTCAAGCTGCCCTACATCTGCTGCTTAATATACATAGGTGTCAATGAGAATTAGATAAGCAGAATGAGAACAGTTTATGACTCTAAATCTATCTCTGTATGCATGCAATCATGCTGTAAAATTTTCATGAAGGGTAAAAAGATTATCAAATGCATAATAATAAAAATTGTAGTTATTTTAAAAGAAACAGCATCTGCCGTGCATGTCAGAGGAATTACTCAAATCACAAGGTTTCCTACTCAGGACTTGCAAACATCAATTTTGCTTAATCAGCTCTGGACCTTTGAAGAATATTTCTGGTCAGCTAATAATTTAAGGTTGCTAATAATTTAAAGTTGCTGTCTCATTATTAGTTTTAAGGCTTATCTCTGGCAGAATGTTCTCCTTTAAAAAGTGGAAGGTACAACAACCCCTTCAATTAGCAAAAATGTAGGATAAAAGGTATGTGGTATTTCTGTTTTCATGGGAAAGCAAAGTTGAGGCCAGTAATACAGTTGGTTTTATTCATTAGTCATAAAACTTAATGCGGTTCACTGATAGCTGGGATGGTTGAAGCAATACAGTGCCTGGCTAAAAAGATCTGATTGTTATTTTCTTTTACATTTCCTACTAGTCTGCCATGTAATTTGCTGGTCACAGGAAATAAGAGACCCAATTCTGCAATTCACTGAGGTTTGCCTGACTAAACACTGTGAGGTTCTAGACCAATATTTGCAACTCAAACTAAAAGTGTGTGGTGTATTTTGGTTCTACAGCAGAAGAATAAAACGCATCAATTAGTAAAAAATTTATCATAAAGAGAAAAGTAAATAAGGATTAAATGTATATCTAAATTAAGTGTAGTTCATCTCTTCTTAATCATGGTAATTTATATTCCAGAAGCACTTGAGAAATAATTTATGTTAAAAAAAACCAACAAACCTGCCTTGAAAATAATGAGGTTTTCCTCAACATTTTAAGAACTCTTTTCACTTACAATTTTAAAATATTCACTCCTGGCATGCAGGAATCCAAATAATTTGTTTTAAATCAAGTTTTAATTCTTTTCTGCCTGCTTTGCAGATAAACATATTTAAACTAAGCACCAAATTTGAATTATCACTCTGTCACAAACCATTCACATCTTTCTTCTTCTCAAGAAAACACTAAAATCTGAGAAAAATATTAGTGCTGTTTCCTGAAATTAAGAACTTCCTTGCCTTAAACCCAAAAGCTTGAAGCAGAAGGCAGGACAACCCTCCCCCAAGCCTTGCCTCCCAATGTTATTTATGTATTATTCTACTGTTCTCTTTTTTTCCCCTGTCAATTTCTGTCCATGCCATTCCACGCACACACATTTCCTGGCAAATCGTATCACTATCATTTGTTAGTTTAAGGACTGGCTCTTAAAACATAGTGATCAGTGCTTAATCAAATAAAAAAGGAAAGAAATTCTTTCCACACACCTCCACTGAGAACTGACGGAGGAACACAACAGTGAGTTCACAGCTAATGTCACAAGTGGACGTGTTGATACACAGCTCTGTGAAGGAAAAAGGCTTTTTTGCTAGCTCAGAAAATGAGCAGGAGTTCAAGGGAACAGATCATTATGCCCCTTTTCTGCATTTTTTTGAGCATAACAGAGTTATGCCACTGAATTCTGTGCAAAGCGGAGTAGAAAAACAGAAGTCTAAAATAACTCTGACCGGAGGACTGAAAAAATATCCCTAACCTAAAGGTCTGGTCTCTCCTGGCTCTGTGGGACTCCTCCTACCTCGCCTTTTGCCAACGCACTTGTCTAAGTCTAACCCCTACTTTTCCACTTAGGGCACCAGTATTAATTCCCCTGGCAAAGTAAATAACTTGGGGAATTTTTTCTTTATCCAATAATATTAAAACAAGGGAAGAAAAAGCCCCACAGGAGGTGCATTGAAGAGCAAGCTGTCATCAAAACCCAAATGAATGGGTAAAAGCATCCAGGGCAGGGACATTAGGAGCAATTACCATGGTGTTCTGCTTTCTTTGCGAGAACTTGAGGTAAAAGATGCCCAGTTTAACGCCAGGCAAGCTGGGCTCCTCACAGGGACACTAGCACCCCCAACCAGCTTCCCCTTAAATCTGGCACGTCTTTGGCGAGGGGCTTGCAGCCCCGTGTGCCTAGGCACGGCATCGCCAAAAGCGCTGCGAAAGGCATGCGCTTCTCTGATCCTTTTGGGATTTAAACTCCCCGGGACGTCGGGCGCCGATGATGCCGAAGGGATTTGGGAAGACTAGGGGCCCCGCCAGGAGCTCCCGCACCCCTCTACTCCTCCTCCTGCCCTTCTCCCGGGGCGGCAGCTTACCTGGTGGGTATCTTGCGCGCTGAATGGTGGGGCTGGAGGTGCGGACGGAGGCGGCGGCGGGCTGCGGCGGCGGCGGGGTGGGT